ATTTGAGCAAATTAAAAAATTTTTGCACAGAAATACTCCAAAAAAAATACGCTTATTTCGTTAAGCGAAAAAAAATTTGGGGTTTAGGTGCACTTTAACAAAAAGAGGCCAGACTTCAACCTCTTGAGCAGAAAGGAAGAGCACTCTACCTGTCTGCTACAATGGTAAGCTCATCAGTCTCTGGATCATAGCGATCTTCCACCAGTTCGATCAATTTCTTTCGGGCATGATCATCTAAAACTAGATCTTTCAAGTAAACCTAAGGAGAATGCATCGAATGGGTCACTTTAACCCCTTCACACCCTAACATCAGTATGCATATTCTCCATACTGTTCTCTATACATTTCCTGAGGTGCTGACTAAGGGATTTTATTTGACAATCAAGAGTTTCTTTAGTTGGTGATCATTTCCTTTATTCTTGTGACCATAATGTTTGATTCAGGGGTGATATTGTAAGGAGAAATTAGATACTGGTCACTCTTAGGGATCAAAGCAGTTAAAAAATACATAATAATTTTGGTTTTTTAACTCTTTATGGTGGCCAATTTACAATTTCAACTTAGTTGATACACCCAAATTACCTTGTTAACCCCACTGATGCAGCAGCATCAGTTTCTTTAGAAACTTACCCCCTTTGTGAAAAAAATACAGTTCTTAAAAATGTCATGAAATCCCAAGTTTCACATTATTTCAAATAGAGTACTGAAAGTAATGGTTGGCTTCTTTTTTAATGTAATTCACCATGTGTTTGGGAAAGAAAACCCATGAATCCCTCTCAAGCAATAAGATACAAAACTAAAAACATTCACAACTTGATCACTTCAGATTTTCTGCATTTTGGACAGTTTGCTTTTACTGCACTGTTCTGATTGATCAGTGTAATTACTTTTAATAGCTAAGTTCCACAACAGCTGACCAAAAGCATTCCAACTGAAAAGGTTAACAACACCTGAAGTTTGACTACTCTTGATCCAGGATGATGAAGCGATGGTCCAGCAAATAAGTAGTTTTGGGTTGTTACTCGCAATGGTACTGTTGAAAGGTCAAGGTTGCTTGGCCATTCAGTACATAATGCTAAGAACAAAAATTACAACATATCAATTACTAAGAGTTTCTTTTGAAAAAAAAATTCTGGCATCATCCGATCTTCCTTTGCCTACCTTAAGAATGGAAATTCTTTATAATTAAGCCTATCAGAATTACAAGAAACCTCAAAGGGCAACTAAAAATGTACATTTTATGTCCAACATGATTTCGAGGTCACAGAGTCAGTTAGAGAAAGATGAATAAAATACAGATTTTTTTTACCCATCCTTTTCGAGGCGGAAAAGTACTTCAAAGATCAGATGAATCTGACCAAGTCAACTCCATATGGTGATCTACTAAGATAGCAAACATCAAGTCCCTGGAACAATGCAGATACACGCAAGCCCTAATCTTTCTTTATAAATCTCTATTCATTAGAGGGCCAAACTACATCAAGGAATTGTTCTCATTGCATTCTAGCAATTATGACCGAAGAGGTTATTGTAAGCTTAATCAGTCTACTTTTAAATCAAATTATTTGCATAAATCTTATTGCTACATAACTTCATGTTTATGGAACAACCTACCCGAAAATATAAGAAGAGCGTCCTCTCTTAGAATTTTTAAAAATTTACTGAACAATGTTAATGAACCTGACTACCAAGGCCAATTGTAGCTGTAACCTTTGTATCGAGTATTTAACATATTTAAATTTTTTTAGTCTAGTTTTTAAATTTTATAGTCTAGTTTTTGTATTTTTATTGAATAGATGACATATCTAAATTTTACATCTTAATTTTAGCATACACATTCACATTTAAATGAGCCCCAGGCTCACCGGTGAAATGTGTCTAAACAAAGTACTACTTCTACTACTACTATCTATGGTCAATGACAGCTTATTTTATGGATCATTTTATAATTTGTGGAAAACCACTGGTAGTATTAAGTCATTACTCAGTGAATCAAGAAAAAGATGCTACTCACACTTTAGTGCCTGACAGTGTCTTTCAATGGAAGGGGGACTTAGGTGGAAAAAGTTTGGTATCTAAATGGAACAACCAAATTACATGTAAATAGTTCAAGATTTTGCAAAAGCTTTCAAGTATGTTGAAATGTTTTAGGAGAAGGTAGAGAATGAAGAACTCCTGTCAAAGTAACCTAGAAGGGTTCAGGTAAACACATGACTGCTCACCACAAATGGAATAGTTTAAGGAAGTGAATGAGTTGATCATGTCTAGGGGTTTAAGACTTCTACAACCACCATGATATCTCACATGTGAGGTTACTTTACCTTCATTAGTTCTATGTTTCCAATTGCTCCTTTGGGAAGGCCTTGGCCATGTTTGTTGTGTTTCATTCGTCCCATTTTGAAGAAAATAGGAATTGCAGCAGGATTATATGACGTGGATCCAGTGAAAACAGATGGCCAATCTGTAAATGTACTTCTTAGCTTCAAGTTTCCATTGATGTACTGTGAATTGTACACATTGACAATAAAATTCTTCACCCTTTACCCCTGAGTTGTAGTAAGGCAGCAAATGAGGTCTTGATCCCAATTCACAAACAAATTTTAAACAGTATTTCAACCATCACCAATTCAAATGGGAAAACTTCACAACCCACCTTTCCTTGCCCTTCTATAAAATAATAGTTAGCTTAATGCATGCACAGAGCACTAAGTTCAAATACTCGAGGGGTCAGTGGAGTTCTCAATTTCTTATACTTTTGAATAGCTTTCATCCTATAAATGGAAACCTGTTTACATGTGAGTAAGGAGGTTAGACTCTAATGTGGGTGATTTCATAGTAAGTAAACACACTATCAGTCTGTAAGACATACTTGAGATTCTTCTTGCTGAAATGGAAATGGGAGATGCCATACAGAATATATGAATGTCTTGTTGAATGTACAGCAATCATGTTCTTAACTGTTATTACTAATTAGCAGCTTCAGGACCGTAACCAGTATGTCAGCAGGTTACTCTTTAGAGGATAAAGGCTTTAAATAGTGTCTATGAATGAGGTTATCAGTTAAAAAAAAAAACAAACAAAAAAAAAAAAACAGTTCTGCTTTGTTGGTAGACAAGTGAAACACTTAATTGATAATCAACCATCAAATACATTTATAAGTAAACATATCAAATAACTTTATGAATCAGAGCACAATGCTTTTCCCTACCTTGTATATCCACTGATTTATTTTAGGTTTCCTGTTTTTATAGTCACTTTTCCTTTTTCTCTCTGAAAAACAGGAACAATGTAGAGGAACCTTTATTTAAATATTACTTATTAAGCCTCTACTGATACTTACAAGCCAACTCTACCGGATTATTTGGGAGTCTCCCGGATACAGAACAAGTCTCCAGGTCTCCCGTATGGTTCACCAAATCTCCCTGATAAAAGCGATGAATCGGCTTTCAAAGGCTTTGCCCCACTGTAGGCTAACATGGTATCCCCAGATTTACCCCCAACTCAAAACGATTTTGGTTTTACAACTCTTCTAGCCGCTTCTCAGAGCATTTTTTAAGCAACTATATCTTGAGGGAAACTAATAAAAGCTTTCGTCGTTTTTAGGAAAGAGGGATTGATTTGATCGGGGATTCGGGGGGGGCAACAATGTTTTAGTTCGGAGAGGTGGCACCATTTTTTTTAATTGGGGGGTGCTGTTGAGTTGATGCTGTGGTGGCATAAGAGAAGAATCTCTAGATTTAAGATCTTCAAAGGTTAGTATCTCTGCTGATATATAGCTAAATTTTACAATTTACAGCGTGATGTTTTAAGATGTACAATTTGACGTACCCTGTCGTTGCATCAAATAGGAAGCGGATTGAACAACACCATGAGCGTATCGACGTTGCACCGTCGTGTTATGGAGGTAAGTCGACGTGCTAGAAGCTGTTACACGAAGAAAAGAGTACGATCTGTAGCTCATTACCGCCGCCATATTTGATCTCTTGTCTTGCCAGACCAGACCCCTCTCGATTTCACAAAAATGAATCAAGTATGCCTAATGAAGTGTCACCAATGAACTGTGGTGACTGCGA